GCAGCCATTAAGGTCTTGGCCTCGAGCATTTTTTCGCTGCCTTGTCCACCCCTGAAAAGTAGAAACGGATAGTCGCCCTTGAAATTCGGCTTTTAGGCATTTTTGTTGATTTTATACAGGACGAAACAGGGTGATCTACAAAAGCTGTAGCACCCTCATGCCCATGTTTGGCAACGGGATGTTCACGTCTTACCAAAAACTTCCAAGTAAAGAAGCGCCGCGATACTATCATTGCTGGCCTTTGAACGATCCTTAGTTCGTAGTGCTCCAGCCAGGTATTGCTAAGACGAGGTCGTAATTCGTTTTCAGGTATAAGACCGAAACGCGTTTCAGTTCTCAAACATTTTTAGAATTCATAAGAACCTCCGATACCTCAATGAGTGATCCTATTGTCTGACACGCGGATTTAGTATCCAAACTTGTCGTACCCAATTATCTGGAAAATCAATTCTGTCATCAATATTAATACGTCGCACATACTTGCACAAAGCCAGTAGAATCATTTCGAGGATTCAAATAGCCCGGGCGTGATGTCAACAGCCAATAATGATCTCTTCTTTTTTCAAAAAGACTTTTTTTTTAGGACTGAGTCCAACTGATCTAAACCTCGACGAGTTACTATACAGCTCTGCTCTTTCTTAGACGACCGCCCATCGCATTCTGGAACTCATATAAATTTCAAGTGGAATGTCAATCGGCTCTGCTTGGAAGCTCAAAGCCTGTTACGAAGCTATGTTACTCTTAAATAATTAAGAAGGGGACACGCAAGGCTTAAATACATTGCAGACGTAGCATCTGCTGATCGATGAGCGTTATGCAGTAGTTTTGTGGTAACTCTCTCATTACTCTGCTTGGCTTGAAGCCATCGTCACGGACACGCTCGCAGATTCCTCACCCAACTGACATTTACTGAGCATAAGTTGTTTTATTCATGTAATGCGACTAACCCCGCTTTCCTCTAAGCTGTTGTGTGTGTTAAATCATACATCAAGTCGCACATGTGCGACGCCCCCATGAAAAATCAATGCAGTTATGCTGACCATGTGTATTATAACTATTAGTACGCACGTCAGCTTCTTAACTATCCTTTGACAGGTGTGAGACCACGAATAGTCTGACGTAAGGGCGAGTTCGTGGTATGGCTTGATTAAGTTCACGTAATACACAGATGTGCTCGCGTACTATATGAGTTACACATGTTGTGTGAAGCACATACATCAGGGTGTGGTTAACATTGACTAATATCTTGCATGGTTATATATTCTGTTATATCAGAATGAGAGGCTCGAATCATTTTAGGGAGTATTTAAGGTCTATTGGACATTTAAAAATTAACTTTTTCCTGCTCGTTCGCGTAAATCAACGGCCCAGTGGAACTGGGCGACACTGTTAACCGATTAAAGTCTTCCTGATTAAGTGCGTGTATAGGGACAAGTAATTTCCGTTACGGGATGTCCAAACTACACCTTGATGTTTTCTTTTCTTCGACATTGTATAGTCTATTATACATTTTTTATTTGTTTTTTCAAAATCTTTAGCGCCTACACCTTGAAATTACACTAAGCCCTTGCCCACGATGCCTCGACCCTTGACCGACCATATCACGCATGGCATTCAGCGACTGCTCCGATACTTGAGTTAATATTATAAACCGCAGACACTACATGTATCGGTGCGTTGATTGTAACTTTTGCCCCTCGCCATATTCGTTAGTGTTCCTGCTGCCTTTACCATTAATTTGTTGCTTTGATTATTTTTGCCCTCAACTGTTGAGTCGCGCATCCTGCGTACGACACTCAAACGCATTAAGATTAACTCACTAATTTTGCACAAAAGTGTAACCGGCTGGTATCCACAAATGGATATCGATCGATAGACACCGTCCATACCGACCGGTGATACTCCTCGGCGATGTCAAAAAGCATTCGGATGTTTACCAAATATCCAAGCTAAACGGAGAATGATAGAGACATGTACTGAGTTATTCTACGTAGATATAATGAGTGGTATAAAAGTAATTCTGCCCCGAGGTTTCTTCGCACAAGTGCCTTAAAAGATGTTTCCCACAACGCAATTCACGAATTGCTGCGTATGGTCCGCGGTTACATAATAAATCTGGTGCTGATATACCTTAATAATACTCGCCAAAAATAATACTCGCCAAAAATATACTGTAAAACGCAGATCCCTATCAGATACTTTGGCATCCGATAAGCCGTGTTTGCAAACAGCTTTGTCAAAAAACAGTAAAATAAATCGCAATCAGTCACACAATCGCTACTAGCAGCGATATAGACCGAAAGTCTTGACTAAACTGATAGACTTCAAACACTTATCTGGGCGTGACAGTCTGGCCAATGGTGCCGCCGTATACAGCAAGGGTTCAGAATATTGACATCTCCTCACGTGCGCACATATGCGCTTACTCACTACTACGTGTTGGGCCGCCAATACATTGCGTTTATCTAAGCAGTGTCATTTCTGTTGCAAGTTGACGATTCAATGCGGAAGCATGTGTCTCGTATAGTAACCTGTCGTTGAGGTCTTCATCTTGAGGGACCACTACAAGCTCAGAGTTAGATGGGTAAGATCTGGGATACAGCAACACTGGGTTAAAGCATAGTCGTGCAGGCGTGCAAACTCGCGCTTCGATAAAGCCGTTTATAGGTTGCTAGAACTCTTACTCCAAAGTTTTCAGCAACGCAAATATGTTGCATCTGACCCAAACGCTGTACATATCGCATTATCAATAGGCAACGTCATCATTGCAATATACAAAAAATCATAGTTGTAGCGTTGCAATAGCACTTTGCTGCCGCCTATCTTCAAATTACCTGAAAGTTCGACTTGGAAAAGAAAGACGACCAAGTTTTGCTTCAGCCAGATACCAGAGCGCAAGAACACGTAGCAATCTTTTTCATGATTTGGCGCTCTTTACACTCTCCTCATATAAGAGTGCAGCCCATTAGCTTCATGCCGTTTGGGTTCAATGCAGATTATGAATAGCGACGTCCTCAATGCATATCTAATCTAATGCGAAGTATACCTTTGGGGTAATTTATAAGCTGGCTCGGCTTGCTAAGTGGTGAATGTAATTTCACGTCGCCCAACCTAAATATCGTCGCATGCTACAACGGTGACGTTGTCAATGGATAAGGTGATTCGTACAGTTGAGGATCAGAAGCAACTTATGCTTCGCTGCAAACAGCTTAAAAGCGAGGTGTTTGGACAAAAATATGGCGCCTTATGGATGCGCGTGGGTACACGCATAAATAGCTAAGTCGTTTTGCACTAAGTGACATGGCTCTCGTCATGTATGACGCCTTGTAATGAGAAGTTAAGTTAAGAATGATGTACATGGCACCAGATACCAATTGCAATGGTCATCTTAGAACAGGACATGTATACAGTTTGGTGGGCTTTAGTCGTATATGTACAAGTGGGCAAACACAAATGTCCGAACAAATGAAACGTGTCAAAGGTTCAATCCTTGTCGTATGCCCCAGCAAATAAGGCGAGACAGCTAAATACGGTAAGTGCTGGTAGTCCATGAACTTTATTTTCAGTCTTTTCCAAGACGCTTATGGTGTTATCGGCATTGTGGTCTCTCTGGACAGTCCGGGTGAGATAAGTTATCTCGCTACTGGCAGCGGTAGTATGACCGATGGCGATACATCCAAGCTGTTCTGTTAGGAAGAAGTCTGCTGAAGCGGCTTACCGGCAGCTGTTGAATTTGTGTACTTTACAGCTTTTTTGCAATTATTATTGATGAAGCTCGGCACCAGATATGTCAAACGCAGATCATACCCAGACATGGCTGAGTTACATTGCATAGGATACCCTTCAAAGCACTTGTGCATAAAGGCCTCGGGGATGGAGCGAAAATGTCCAACTCATTGATTTTTCGTAGAAATTAGTGCATGTCGCTACAGGCCTACTCAGTTACACATGAATGGTTTTTGCAAAAATTTGAGTGCCTTTGACACCGCCAAGAAGTGATTCCGGTCTTTATGGAGGACGGTAGCTGTCGAACAATATTGATTTGCGGATATCAGCCCGCGTACACTTTGTAACAAAACCAGCGATTCAAACTTAATGAGATTGAGGGACATGCGCAGGCAAAACGATGTAGCTGAGAATGACACCCCTGCTAGAGGCAGGAAGCACACGCGAATGACAAACTAATAACTAACCCACCAACGGTCATTTTAAAATAAGCATAATGATATATTTTGAATCTCCCAAAAAGAATACAAACAAATATTGTGTTTCAGGTGAGCACATAAAAGCTGTATTACGGTTCCGCTTTTACAAACCAATCAGATGTCATGAGGTCTGCACAGCGTTTAAATCACCCTGTGAACCCCCATCTCCATACCAGCGATGCAATTTTATAAGAGTTGGGTTGTCTCATGGAACACTATCTTAGCAAGTGAATTCGAGATCCGACTCGTCCTAGCCTCAGACACGAAGCCACATTCGGAGAGAGTCATTAGACCGCCAAACCGAGCAGGTGCATAACAGCTAGCTGTGGAAAGGTTGATCCCCACCGGTAGTGCACGATGAGCAAAAGAAGGCTCGCCATCATGTGAAGCATTTGGTAGACCGAAGGGTGCAGTTCCTGTTGCCCTTTCTCGGTAATTGAAAGAAGTACCCTCATTCCAAATGTCTAGGTAGTTAGATCTCCCACCAACACAAATGTTGTAGTGGCTTACCACCTGGTCT